TATCATTGAAAGTTCAAATTGAACGAAAATTAGTAGCACGAGGCAGCTCACAAACTGTCCAGCAAAAGTTCTCCTGGTTGGTCAATTGCTTGACCATTCAAAATCAGTAGGATTTTGTAGCTCCCGGCTTGCTCTTTTGAATGGTGAAAACCGCAGCTCGATAACTCAAAGTAATCAAAAGTTATTCAGAAAATGGTCGTTAATACTTTTAAAAAAATCCGCCATTAGTAATATTCAATCAAATAGTTTCATTAGGCATAATAGTTCTAAAAACGAATTCTTATTCCCTTTTTTTGGTGACGTATTCTACAGAAACTCGTGAAAATAAAAACCAGGAATGGACGTAGAGATGTTTTGCATATGCAACAGCCTGAAGAACACAAATGCCATTGAAACATAAATATTAGATAACATATTTCTTGACAGCAGTCAAACTGATTTGAACAGAATATCTTTTTAAGACCCAAGTCAATAATTCTCGTGTAATGCCGATTTTCAGTAAAATCTTTGCCGACAAATCAAGCAAATTTCTTTCGATAGACTCAGACCGAAAGCACATACAAAAAGAACGGTGATGCCTAAGAAGAATGGGATAAAAGAAAAAATGTGATGAAGATTAAGAAGAAATTTGGATGTGAGTGCATATGCAAGCCAAAAAGCAGTGCCTTCCCCTTATTCACACATTCACAATTAACGTGTAACATTTAGTAGAATGCTTCGGCTCTCGGCTTAATTCGCTCATTAGATAACTCTACACAACGTTTTCCTCTTACTGGTGCTATATAAAGTAATCTGCTACGACTCGTAAGTGAAAAGAGATAATCTTGCCTCCAACTGCATCACGCTAGTCTTCAAAAGATGTAAAACCTTGTATGCAGCTGATGTGAATATGTCAGCAGCAGAAAGTTGAATATATTAAGTGAGAAAAAAAAACAGATGGAGTGAATGAAAAATTGTTGGTGACTGATTGCTTTCACAGCTCTTTACTATATCAAAGGTGATGGCAGTATATCGCTTTGTGTTTCTCGTTCTCAGGTAATTGGAAAATCTTTTTCTTTGGCTCATTCTTCTTTTTTTTAGTATCTCAGGTACGATCGTGCTATTTTGTGAACATTTTTAAGAAAGCTAATTTTATTTACAATTAGCAAATAGTGTATCACGAGCGTGTTATAACGTATCTCAATGTGATCAGTATACGACGAACCCGACCTGCGACTGTTTTGACTTTGTACCTTCTTTCAGTTCTGGTATTTGTACGCATCTCAATATCCCTTGTTCTCAGTTGGTTTCGTGCGCAGTTCAGAACAATGTCTGTTATCAACCTGCTCATATTAATGTTAATCATCCAGATTATCATAATCTTCCACTTTGTTATTCATTGTCAATGACTGCACAAGAAATATGTCCGTCCATACAATCCTCAACAAGTAAGGCAGACAATCAACTATTTGAAGAATGCAACACATGATCTCGCTTACTTTCCCTGCTATAGTAGTTTTTTTCTTGGTTTCTCCCAATTTATTAATTTAGATTCGACTCCTCTATCAAAGCATAAGTCTGAATGCCAGCATGCGGTAAAAGAGTTTCGTCATGATTTTATGAAGAAAATAGTATTATCTTCGGTTACTTGTTGCTGCCACTAGAGGAGAATGTGAACAAGGCAAACCTTGACTTGTGTTCAGTACCAAAATAAACTTTAACAGTCTATGACTTCATTGGTGACGCAAGTAAGAGGCATGGAAAGGTGCCATCCAGCTTAGTGTTGCCAGATGTCAAACTCCAAAATTCGGAATGCAAATCTCAAAATTTGGAAAGATTTTTGAGGATCAGTTTCAACCGTTTAAAGTACGTTTTACTCGAACAGATTATGAATAGCAATATTCTTTATATCTGCATAATATATTTAAATGAAGAAAAAACTACATATCAAAACATAGTTAACTCAATTCTAAGAACTTATCAATTACACATTTCGCTCTTAATTGACAGCTTATTTTTTAGTACAATATGTTTCGTTCGAATAAGTAGGTTTCAATAATTCTGGTTTTGACAAAAGAAAATAATAAATTTTTGAACACGATAATGATGAATTTAAACGAGCTTTTAATTCAGTTGTAATGAGTTCTGTTGACATACGATTTCGTTTATCATTAGATAAATACTTCATTGTCAAAAAAACACTTTCGACACATGTATAACTGCAGGGTATTGAAAATAAAAAAGAAATGAATTGGTGTAGATTAGGAGAAAGTGTAGATTTAATATATAAAAGCATTGCCCAAAGACGATCAGGTCTTATTTCTTTTGTTTCACCATTTTCTTCTGTTGAATCATCATTATCATTATCTTGTTGTTGTACTTCAACTTCTTTGTTTGATAAGATTTTTCTAGAAGAAGCTGTTGATATGCTTGAATTGATTTTATTATTAATATATGATTGAACATGATCATACAGTGGAATATTCTTATCTTGTATAGCTTTGAATACTATTTGAATTTCAATAAATTCATGAAACAAATCATTTTCATTTCTATTTTCTATTTGAAATAATTCAATACATTTTGTAATTTGATCCCATATAATATCATTAACAGTTAATAAACAAAATGAGACTAATAGCTTCATACAATAATGATGATGTAACACCTTTAGGTTCAATTTCTTTTCCATTTTTGCCTTTCTGTTTCAACAAATTATATTCATCAACATACATACAATAACTCTTTTGATGAAGCGGGCAAATGAAATTTTTAATTTATCAGCTATGCTTGGTTATAATCGAAATAATTTTAATCGACAGCTTGGGCCAAAAAACGACGAATTTAATCTTTGTTGTAAATTGACTTGTAAATCTGTTATAATTTGATGTAAACTAACAGCAGATAAATACCGTCTTTGTCATTTTAAATTTGATTTTTTGAATAATATGGAGAATATATTCTAAAAAACTAAGAACGCAATGTTCTTCTTCAGATGAAAAGAAGTCTTGAAGTTCTTAAGAACAATCATCATCAAGGGGTCAAAAATAATCTTTGATAGGAGTAAAAGCCTTCAATAATCTCTCGATTGATGTGTAAAACATTAACCAATGCAATTTTATATGTTTCAGGATCACCTAGACATGTACAAATAAAGCATATATCTTCTAGCAATATTATTGTCACGGTAGAAAAGTAACTTTTTTTGCCATGTAATCTTGTTCATAAAATTCATAATACGATTTAAGTTCAGCTACTCTTTTAGTTAATCGAGGAAAATGAGTATAAATAGTCAATAAATTCTTCTCAACACCAATAGGTAATACTTTATGCGAATACTTAACACTATTATGTAATATATCATTATAGTATGAATCTAAAATACAAAAACAGCAAACGAAGGTTATCCTGTCCGAGTGCAAGATTTCATTCAATATAACTTATCTCTTCATTTTATCCAGTCCTAACCGGAGTATATTAGATGAAGGAAAATAGAGAGCTCATGTTAAATTACCTTTGGTCACATTCAGCTTTTCTTCACGAAATAATGAAAACACACTATGATGCTCTCCCATTTTGGCATTTGCGTTGTCTGCACCTATTGCAACTAAACCATCTGTACATAATCTGTATTTATATAATATTTGACAAGCATTTCGATGTATATCAACTGCAGATTCACTTGAATCATCGATGAAATCTAAAATAACTGGAAAAGAATGTGAACTAGTATATTATAGCAGATTAAAATTTTGAATCGTACCTGCTTTTTGCTTCTACATCTGAAAAATACTGAATACAAAACGGAAAAGTCTTTAAATTGCCTCTATTACTAGCATCAAATGCAAGGGAATGACGAAAAGCAAATTTGATTTCTTCCACAACAGTATGTGTAAAGAAAGGTGCTCAAACATCTGTTGCTATTGTTGCAGCCTTCGTTTTCGCACATGCTAAAGATTTAGCAGTAGATGATGAAGCAAATAAATTTTTAAAACGTTAGTTGTGCATTGTTAAGCTAAATATGAAATTTCATGCCAAACAGTGTGATATACTATAGTAGCCTCAGCAGCAGCTGTCTCATCTTTTTCACAGGTTGATTTAATTGTTGTGGTAATCCGTTGACGATCAATACTGAATGTTAACATATTTTTAGAATGTTGTTTAGTCTTTGACTCTTGAACAACATCGTTTTTTCCACCATAATGAACATTAAATTGGATGTTGCATACCATGCACATTACTTGACTTTTATTTGGTTTATATTCTTTTAGAAGTTTAAATTCACTTAACTGTCCGAATCTGAATACTCCTTTTCTTTTCGCTTGTTTATTAGTTTGTTTCAGTTCATTTTCAACTGATGTTTGTTGTGCTTTTGGTGGTAGCTCATTTTCTACTAAAACATCTACTTTTTCGTTCTCATCAAACATTCTGAAAGTATAAGAGAAAAATAAATGTACAACACAAATTATTGTCTTTTTTTCGTCTTTGACGTATATCAACAGAAGGTACCACTATAAATCTCTATTGAACTAATAGTAATTTGTTTAGAATGTTAATCAAGAAGTAAAATATAATAGAGATAGAAACTATCCACAACCAGAAAAAACTTTCAAAACCCTGAATTTTTCCAAAAAAATTCAGAAGATCTGGCAATACTGATGGGAAACGAAAAAAAGGTTCTGAATTTATATTCGCGGAAAGAACTTCTTCTTAGGTTTCGTAAAAAGCCTTTTTTTATTTAGAGTGTGTGAGAGAAGGACTCTGTGAACGCTTTCAAACACATTCTCGAAAGTTTTACCAACTTCTCTGAAAGAAGAAAACAGTCTCATTCGTAATACTTTTCTGCAAGAATATGATTTTTTCGACAACGAATACGATTCCTTTCTTTTTTTGTTCATTGTAGTAGCTTGCAATATTCCAGTCAATGCTCGATGGGCACAGAATGCGACGACCGTTGCTGGAGGGCATACAGAAGGTAACGCCACCAATCAACTCTACTACCCTTCGGGTCTCTTCATTGATGATGACCAAACGATAGTCATCGCTGACTGGGGCAATCATCGTATTGTTCAATGGAAGATGGGTAATAATCATGGCCAAGTAGTAGCTGGTGGCCATGGTCAAGGAATTCGATTGGATCAATTGAACCGTCCGACGGATGTGTTGATGGACAAAGAGACGAATAGTCTCATTATTTGTGATCGAGGCAATCGGCGAGTCCTGCGATGGCCTTGTGGTAGTGGCACAACTCAAGGAGAAATCCTACTCGACAAAGTCAGTTGTTATGGATTGACCATTGATGATCAGAGAAATATCTACATTTCTGACACCATCAAACATGAAGTCAGACGATACAAAATAGGAGACAAGGATGGATCTACCGTGGCTGGTGGCTATGGCAAAGGTAATGGTCACAATCAACTCGATGAGCCATACTTCCTTTTTGTTGATCGACAGCAGACTGTCTACGTGTCAGACACATGGAATCATCGTGTGATGAGATGGGATAAAGGTGCAAAAGAAGGAGTTATCGTAGCTGGGAACCACGTTCCAGGGGAAGCTCTGACAAATTTAGCATATCCTCGAGGACTGTACGTCGATACGTTGGATACCATCTATGTGGCAGACACAGGGAATGACCGAGTGATGCGTTGGCCAAAAGGAGCGAAGCAAGGCAGTATTATTGTGGGTGGAAATGAACGAGGACAAGGAGCAAATCAATTGAGTGTTCCTATGGACTTGTCCTTCGATCGACATGGGCATCTCTATGTTGCTGATCATTATAATCATCGAGTTCAATATTTTCCTATAGAATAGACTCATTACGACGAATAAAAAATAAATAGCTATTCAAATAAAAAAGTATCTCATTTCTATTACATACATAGGAGAGGACGACCAGGACTCATCTTGGGGATGCATGGTGGTCAAAAGTGTATGGATTCTGGTAGGAAATTTTCCTTCGAATTCATCCACACTCACTACTAGATAGCTCTTTCAATAACTAATGATTTCAAAAAAAACAAAAGATGGCTTTCTATCACTTTTAGTATAAAATGATATGCAAACTTTCAATAATTCGAGATTAGACTAAAGTGTTCTGAATGATTTTCATTTAGCTTTTGAAGTAAAAAACGATTTGCCCGATAAGGTGCAACTGCTGATGATAGGGTTGGACTAATCTGGTTCTACTTTGTTGATGTCACTACTTCATCCAAATGAACTATATAGCACACAGAATCGGATGAGTGTAGCCTATTCTTGTTCTGAAACAGATGGGATAGCATCACTGAATTTGAATTTACGGCAAAGCTTGATTCCTCAATATGTAGATATTATGAGTGTAGATGACAGTAAAAACAACTTATCTCACTTTTATCTACATTGTTTATGCAATCGACACATTTTATCGACCTTTTTTTACCTCGAAGGATAGAACAGAATCAAACAAAAACAGATTCTATTCTATTATGATAAGCAAAGAGAAAGCTTTTTATGACAGCGTGTAAGAAGAAATATAATTGCTGTGTATCAATTTGATTATTTCTGCTCAGATTCGTCCTGCCGTTTTACTCCATATAATACGAAGTAGTCAAGATTTACCAAGTAAGGACACATTTTTAGTCGCTTAAAAAACATATCGAACTCCTCTTCTCAGTTCAGGCTATACCAGGAGCCCCTGAAGTCTCCACATGCAGAATTAAACACTACTGTATCAGCAGTAGAACACTCGTTAATTAATCACTACATTACTTGACATTCAGCAGAGAGTTCTGTCCCACCAGCAGAAATCGACATTACACCCTGTCACCCCACCCAACAACAAAAGGTGCTTTCCTATGACTTGCTTGGAGAAATCGAACAGATAAATGCTGAATTAAACGATTCGCTGGAAGATGCATAAGTAAATCTAGATGCACATCACATCACCATGTTATGAGCAACAAGTGGTGTATTCACATTTCTATTGAACATGAACAGGATTCTGCTACAAAATCAGATTTCCAATCAGAATTTTTCTTTTAGCGTCGGGGCTCTAGCAATTTACTATCTAGAGTTCTGCTGGAGATATAACTTAGAATTTTTATTAGAACTCTACTTCGTTATACATTGAACAACAAGTAACATGACAAGTGATATAGATACAAGTCTGGTAGACATGCAGAATTTCATCTAAAGTCTGAAGCAAAAACTGAATTTTTTAATTCTGCTTGTGGATAATCTTGGCAATACTGCTTTCGCGTGAAGTAACTGATTCTACCAGAAATGACAATACTTATCAAGATCATCCTACTCTTTTGATTACAACTAAGAGGAATGTGAATAGAGTAATAGGAGCATCGAACAGCCGAAATTTATTAGTGACGGCTGATGTCGATACAAGTTCATTATGAAAGCTCAAATTTAATGATATAAGGGTAACCTGTTGCATGATAAAGCTAGAAAAGTAATGTAGAAAACTATTTCTGCCGAGAACAAGCGAGTAGTAGAAAAACTTAAACGTTTATCCCAGTAATGACA